AGCATCAAAAAGATATTTGGCTGAATCAGAACCCAAAAATAAATTGGCTCATATGGGAGGGCATTGCTTTCTTGACCAAAACCTGTCACTGGCTGCTACATCAAATTTACAGCTTTGGTCTTTGCTGCTTCTGTTTGATGAGAGCACTGATTTTTTTTTTAAATTTTTTTTTTTTCAAAACTAACATTGAATTGATTTCTTTTAATGTGCCAGTAAAAAGTCAGTTCCCCTTTCTTCCCCTGTTTATATGCATTGTAACTGTGGATTCTGATGGACCAGCCATCAAATTTTAACTGCCCTCTGACAGCGTGTAACTGGTTTACAAGCACACAGGACTAACACGAGCTTGCCATCAGCTTGCTGTATAATGTTTCCTTTTTTCCAGCTCTGGCAGCTGTTCGTGCAGGTGTTGGTTGTGGTATCTGAGTAATGTGGTGCTTGGCTACTTGGAGTTGTACCCGGCCTCTTGGATACACAGTGCTGTGGTTAACTACTACAGTTTGTCTTTGGAGGGAGCTTTTCTCCCTAGTCCTGAGAAACCAGCAAAATTGGAAGTTTTCACTATATTCGTTTGGTTTTCCGTGTTTGATGTTCAAGTGACCTTTGGGTGCAGTGGCTGTTCCCCTCCCTTGCACATATTGATTACCACAACTGGAGATCCTCAGATCTTTCAGCTGGCTAGGAGGGTTTTGGTAAAACTGTCCGAGTTTCTGGTTTGTAGAATTGTATGTAGGTGGTTTTACAATGCATTAGGAAGAAACACTAATGACGTAGCATCACAAGAAGCATTTCAAAAAGCACTTCAGTAGAAGACAGCCACGAGGCCTCGTGTCCGTGTGTGATGGCAGTCAGCTCTCCTGGACCAAACCACCTTCATGATACCATTGCATTCTGTGTTTGCAATTCAAGCTTAATTCCTTTTTTGTTCTGTTTGTTTCCATAGCTTTTTTTGTTGTGTTTTGTGCATTTTGAATAGCTTTATTCACATGGGTTTTTCATGCAGACTTCCCTTGGACAGTAAATCGAGTTGTTTGTGCATGTGAACAACTGAGAATTAATGTTGGCTTGATAGAGTCATAATATGGTTTGTAATGTTGTTCTTCCCTGAGACCACTGGCTTGTCTGGTATGGAAAATTTATTTAGAACTTCAGCTATGTTTGAATAAAGTTAAAGTAATCCAGTTTGTTTATAAATTAAACACAAAAGCCCACCCAGCCCTGCAAACCAGCATGTTGAGGAACGGCAGCAGGATGTTCCGATGCGGTGGGATAACGAGCCGGCGTCGCCGAGGGGAGCAGGCGGCTGGGACTGCAGGGCTCGGCTCTGGGGCTCTCCTGAGTGGCACTGCAGGGTGCCCTGGCAGAGGAGGTGGTTTGGTTGCAGGGAACACGATTGCTGTGCAGACGCAGCCGTGGCACTAAATCAGGTGCTCCCTGGTGGGATGATAAACCAGAGGCGGCAGCCGAGCACGGTGCGAGGTGTGGAGCCACCCTGTGTGATGCCCCTGCTCCTCCCAGCTGGTGCCAAGTGCTCTGTGGTTCCAGGTGCACTGATGCTCCTCTTGGTCTCTTAAAACAAAGGAAAGAAAGCCCAGTTTGCCCAGGATGACTGGTGAGCAGAGGGTGCTGCTGTCAGGCCCTCTGAGAACTGCTGAGGGGTGTTGGGTTCAATCTGAGTCGAAGTGAACAACACTCCTATTGTTGGTGTAACTCCATACATATATATCTATATATACATATATATATCTGAATATGTATATCTATAATATAGATATATATCTATTTAAACCCTTTTCATTCCATTAGTACAAGTAACACTTGTTTCCTGTTATTCTTATTTTGTTTGTCAACCGTGTATTCAATCACTGGGCTGAACAACAGTGGAGGAAGGTGCAAGGGATCCACTCCTTACTAACCAGTGATAAAGCCAGATATTGCAACTTAACCCATGAGTAGATGTGCAGACAAGGATTGAAGAGTGATGTGTAGAAACAACACAAGTGGCCAGGGGTGCTGAAGATACAGAACTCAAGTAGACAGGAGGGCTTCAAAGGACACCTTGGTTCAGAAGTGGTTGCTCAGAGGTGCTGAACAGCCTCTGACATGGAGCAGCTGGGTCAGTCAGCTCGGAGGAGTTTGTGGGGAGACACCTGACAACAAAGGATGCAGCAGTGGGGATTTACAGAGACGCAGGGTTTGGCAGAAGTTTGAGGTAGTATCCTGAGCTTAATCTGTGGCACTCAGGTGTCCCAATTCTGATTGTTGGTACTTGTAAATGAACCTCTGGATTTGGCAGCTGGAGCAGTAAATTCCTTACCAGGAGTGTGACAGTGCTTGGTCATCGGCCTGTACGGATTGGTCTCGCCTACAGTCAGCCTGTTCTGCAAGTACCTTAGGACTTCATTAGTTTGTGTGTGTGCATTTGCGTGTGTGCTCATATATATTTTTTTGGGTATGCGTTCTGTTGATTAGTAACCATTAATTAGCATTTTCAATAGGGCTTTAAGTCCAGTAGATTACGGGTAGTCAGTTGACGAAGATCTGGTTTACAAGAACTAACTAAATGTTTCATTGCGTTTTGTAAGTACATAGAATAATTTTATAAAATGTTTGTAGTTTATAAATGCCTAAAATATAATTTAAGGGCACTTTTCTGTGTCCGTGTGTGGGTGTGTCTGTCTGTGATCAGTTTTTCCATGGTACCAGTTACTAGTTAGCTTTACAATATGCCAAAAAGGAATCGCTGACTTGTCCAATTCATGGCTTGTCCCTCTCCCCCGTCCCGCCCAAGTTTTGTGACCCAGTATACAGCGAGTGAGTAAAGGAGGTGGGAAAATGTTCTGTATCTTCAGTATCCTGGTCTTCCAGAGCCCTCTGGTTGGGGTGGGATCCTCTTTCCTGGTCATTTCACTTTGCTGTCTAGGGCAGTTGCCTTCATGGATGTCAGGAGCCTCACTGGTCAGGGAAGCAGAGCGGGGTTTGCTGCTCCCCAGCTCCCGGGCCGCTGGCGCCTGCGCCTCGGGGGCATGTGAAGGATGCCACTGCGTAAGGGAAAGAGGGAAGGTGGTTTTGGTAATTGCTATTGAAGAATTCTTTGCAAATTTCTTATCACTTTAAATGCTTGTGTGCAGCCTCTAAAGCTGTTGAGCACCATTGGAAGCTTTGTTGAAATGAGCAAGGGAGGGTCCCTATTTATTGTTATTTAAAAATCTCAAAGATCCAACCTCTCTGCTGTGGACAGGGATGCCTTTCTCTTCTTCTGTTTTCTGAACCAGTGAGGTTTGAGATGAAAGGATTGGCCAGAGTTTGTCTACCTCTGGGACAAAAAATGAGAAAGTGCTAAGGAATGGATGCAGTTGCAAATACATTTTCCAATTTTTCTTGTTTAAATTTTTTTAAGAGAAAATTAAACAATAACATGGCCAATTTATTACATAAAAAGACTTGCTGTGTATAAATTATTCCTAAAGAAATTCCTGTGTTTATATTAAAATGAATCAGTAGATTAAAAAAATTTCAAAATGTTTTTGTATATTCTGTTGTAAGAATTTATTCCTGTTATTGCGATATACTCGGGATTCTTTACATTATGAAAAGAAGAAACTTTGTCTATTTTGAATGGCTGAAGCTAAGGCTCCTTTAGTTTCTCTTACTCTGCTTTTTTCTAGTAGTTTCAGTACTACATGATTTAAGTTAAATAAAAGAATTCTGTATGCATTTGTTTGTTTCTGATTTTGTTGCTCCTTATGCAAACCGAGTACAGATTGGAAAACTCAGAGCAAAGCTGCTCTGGTGTTCCTCTGCCCTTTCTGGCTGCATCTAATTGAGCTACTCTTAATAGGAGTCAGTGCCATTGTTTGGTTGAAATCAAAAGCATTTTCATCCAGAGACACCGAGCTTTTGGATCCTTCATGGCTGAGATTTGAGCAGTTTTGCACGAGGCGGTTCCTGTGAATAAGGTGAGCATTGTTAGTTATTTATTTACCTGCAGAGCAATCCCCATGTGAGGCATTCAGCCAGCCAGTACCTGGTTTTCAGCTTTCTGTAACACTGGAAAGGACAGTGGCCAGAAAGCCAGCATTATCTTGGCATTCCCAGTTCCTCAGACTCTTGGCACCAACGTGTTGACTAAAACAAGCTCAGTGATGGCCTGAAGCCCCAGCAGCTGCCTGTGCTGTTGCATTTGTCTCTTGTCCTTTTCACTGATGGTGCTTGAGGAACAGGCTTTTGTTTCCCTCAGGAAATCCCAGGTGTCCAGATTAAGCTGCTGCTGTGCTGTTCCTGACTGATTTCATCTTGTCCCTGTGTCCTGGCAGCAGGATTTCAGAGGAGAGTGTGGACGTTCCCTGTGTGCTGAAGGGCAGTGCTCTGACCCTCTGTGGTCCCAGCACATCTGTATGGAGCTGCTTGAGATGGGGAAGAGTCTGCTCCCATGTTTAACAGTTTTTACACCATGTTTGGTGCCTGTTCTGTAGGTAACCTCACGTGCCCTAATCCTCACCACAGTGCTTCAGGATTGCATCTCTTGGGACAGGTTATCTTTGGATTTGCCTTTGGGCTGTGCTCTGTGGAAGGACTAAGGGGTTTTCCCTTGGGACAGGCACTGAGAATCTGGGGACAGTGGCTGTTCTGGGTTGAAACTCAAGTTACCAGCAGCATTATAGATCCTGCTGGTTTCCAGTTTTCTGTGCTCTCTGAAGTCGCTCTAGCTCAGAGCCCGTTGCTGATGTGGAAAGCAGCATCTACAGCAGGTCAGTAAGAGAGAACTGTAAAACTTCACATACCAGAATCTCCAAGCGTGTTTTGGTTTCTCCCATACCCAGATTTTTTGTGGGCTGAACCTTGGACTCAGGGGCTGAAGGGGATCTCTGTTACTTCCATCCTCTGCTGAGTCCTTACAGCTGTGAGATCCATCTGGGGTCAGCAAGTCTTTATTGATGACTTTCTAACCAACAGAACCAGGATTAAGCATCTAAAATGTTTTCAATCCAGTATCACAATTTCTGAAATCTGAACAACTTTATTGTTAGCAATATGAACAACCAATCATTTTGCTTTTTTCCCCCTCAAGCCTTTTCTATGAGATGCAAATGGTTGGTTGAGTTTGCAAAGAAATTTCACTGAAAATAATGTGGGCTATAAAATCCTTTGTGTGGGGGTTTTAAATAATCTTTAAATCTGCTTAATTTCAGAGGTAAGGAATTGCATTCTAAGAAGTCATCATTTTTTCCCTCTGTGATCCATCTCTCTTTGTTCCCCACACTGTTCCAACATTGCTAAGATAATGGTCTGTAATGCTTTTCCTAGAAATTCTGCTGTTACCGACTCAGATAATGGAGGGACATGGATGAAAGCAGCTCTTCCATTGCCATAATACAGAGAAGTGTAGTAGGTGTAATCACAGATGTACCTGCAATATTAAGAACAAAACAAAACCAGAAACCTGAATTTAGGCTCAGTAAACCTTGTTTAATTTAAATATTCTAAGTAGCCAAACCAGATCTGGTTTATTAAATTATTAAGAACATATTTGCTTAGTGAATAAAGGAAATGCTGAAATAAACCAAGTTTGAGAAACAAATGTTGCTTATCTGATGGTTTGGTTTCTCAGACACCCACCCACAAAGAACTTTAAATAAAAAAATATCACAAGACAGGCATTCTTGTGGGGTGGGAAAGGTAACACACCCTGCTGGAAATTACAACCATGTAACACAGTTTTTGTCTAAGTCATAAAATCTCCCTGTCTGAAGGGATTTTTCTGGTCATTCCACCTTTTAAAATTCAGGTGCAAATCTTGAATTTAAGGGCCAATATTAGCTGATTTTTATTTAAAATAAAAATTACTGGTTTGTTTTCCTTTCCAGTGAAGACTAGCATAGTAGAAAATTGCTTCAGTGCTACTGGAATACATAATGAGATCACAGGCCTGGTTCTAACAGTACCTGTAATTGCTATTCTCCAGTGTATCTGTTTACATTTTGTATCCCTCCCAGTTGAGAAAAATAGATTAAAATCTGCTACAAGTCTGTATTGCTTTCAGACTCTCTTAATAGCTGAGGTTTACGGGAGTTGCTCATCACAGGGTGTGCTATGTTGAAACTTGTTTCTTTTGGAATTTAAAAATCTATGGAAAAATATCTACTGGCTGTAGCTTTTCATGAAGGCTGCTTTACATAAAATTTAAAATCATCCCAGTTTCATACTTGTGCCCCTCTGAAGAGTCTGCTTTGGAGTGATTTTGTTTGGAGGAGAGCTCCTGAATGAGCAGATTGAGTTGTTTCTGTGAGCCCCTGATTCGTGACGTTTACCTTCCCGCGTCTCTGGAAAGGATGATATCAATCCCTTCCACTGAGATGTTCTTCCAGAGAGTCTTCATATTAATTGTAGATTCAATCTTTTCTGGGCCATCTAGCACGCAGCAGGCACCTTCTGGGTGAAAACCACCAGCATCCCTCTCCTGGTAGCCTTTGTTCTTCCCACACTGCTCCAGGATGATGAGCGCTGTGGTGGACGAAGCCAGCCCAACGTGAACTGTAAGCTGGTTTTTCCCACCAGGGTGAATAATAGCAGATTAAAAATGAGACCTGCTTTTTGAAAACATGTTGCAAAAGGTCCAAGGGAGTCTTGCTCATGTCTAAAGAAAACTTTGATAAGGTTATAAATGAGAACCAAATTAGTCCGCAGTTTTTGTTGTGTCTAGTCAGGACTGCAGAGCAGCAGTATCTTTTTTGCAGTTTATGGTAGATATTTTCCTTTCCTTTGTTCAGCATGAGTTATGCTGTTTAACTGGCACGGGGTTAAACCAGCATGCTAATTAGTGTGTGCACTGAATTTCAGCTTGGAACCTTGATCACAGTTTCAATAGTCACTTCCCAGAGTTGTTTGATGTTTTGCAATACTCTCTTGGAGATTTTTTTCATTGTATTCAGGGGAGGGGAGGAGGTTGTTTAACTTCAGCATTACCCACCAGTGGCTGAAGCGTTGTCCATATCTTGCAGACTTTCTCCTTTGCTTTTTGGTAAACCACTGGCAGCTGCATGATCTGGAGATCAATGTTTTCACCAAGGCCTCTCTTGGACAGCTCCTGTGTTTACAAAAAAGCCACCGAGGACTTGAAGGAGCATTGGATTTCTGACTGTGATAAAGAAACAGGGCTGATTCAACTGAGGAAACACCTGAAAGAGCTACACCCTTAGCCCGTGGTTCCTGAACATTGGTCTGCAATGAGATTTGTTTTGTGGTTGCTCCCTCTCTTTTAACTGGAAGAGACTAAAATGTGCTAAACAGTTTCCTAATGTCACGTCTGTCCGTGTGGAGACATTGTTGTGTTTTCCAAGGAGATGCTCAGTCTCCAGTGGGTGGGAGGGGTTATTGCTTTGGGATTGGTCCCTGGAGAACCATGAGGCAGTGTCTCTCAGAAAAGCTCCACCCTTGAAAGCATCTAAACAGGCTTTGCTGTAGGTAAGAGCTGTTTCTCTGAAAGATCTGGTAGAAAAACTGCACTGCCAAGAGACAAAACCAAGGAGAATTCACCTTAAGCATGACATTTTCACTCCAGGGGCACGAGATCTGCTGGCTTGACCAGGTTCTGGTAAGATGTGCTGAAGGTCGCTGTCAACACGAGGAAGTCACATTTAGAATGAGTTTAATTTATTTTTTGTTCTAGAACATTTCTCTGGTAAAAGGAAATGTCACTGAGCCGTTACTTCTCTGTCAATTATGTACAGTTGAATTTCCACAGAGGACCAATTGTCCTGAAGAAAAAATTATGCCCAGAACTGAGGTAAATGGAACAAGGGCACCCTTCAAAGCAGCAGGTTGGCCAGGTGGCTGGAAGATGGTCTGGAGAAGAAATGTCACATGGAAGTGACTTGAAATGATTTTGTCAGTGGAACAGGGCTAACGAACCAGGCCTAGGCCTCAGCAGAAGGTAAGCAGCTGCAGAGGCAGGATGAAAAAGGAATTCATCTGAGGTGGGAAGCTTTGTCCCAGAAAATAGAATGGTGGTTGAAAACCCCTGTTCCATTTGAGTAAACCATTACCAAAGGATTATATAGGATAGGTTTTTAAGCAGGCACAGGCAAAAGTGGAGGTGTCTGATTAGCCCAGGAGACCTGTAACTGTATTCAGTGTCATCATCTTCTCAGGGTTTTGTTTCTCACTCAGGATACCCATGTGGATGAGGCCCACAGCTCTGGGAAATTTGCCCTTCCACACTTGCTTCCTATATAAACTGTTCCAATTTTCTTGTCAGCGGAAGCATTGATTAGCTGTGCTCAATAAACTATTTGACACAAGCAAGGAAACAATGCCTGCAGGGAAGTAAACACATTTGGAGAACAGTGCCAGCCTTTTTTCCTGTGGGCGCTGACAGTCTTTGAGAGCCCATTGCATCATCTCGCTGAAGAATGCTGTACTGTGCCTGAGCCTCCACGCAAGAAAACCCCAGCTGGTTCACAATTAGCATTTTCTTTTCCAAAGCATTTTTAATTTTTACATCTAATGAGAGTCTTTCTTTCAAACTATAAGGCTTAGAGGACTTGACTACCCCTAACTTTGGTGCAGAACATGGAGACCCAAAGCCAGCTGTAATGCTGTTCTCCTCTCGTGCTCTCTGGGTCAAGACATCCAGTTGTCATGGCAGAAACACACAGAAATACTTTTGTGCAGGACAAAACTGAAGCTGGCCGATAGCAAATGGCTGAGAATTTGTGTCAAAGGAAGATGGTTGTCTGTGTCCTAAGCAATTTCAGCGTGTTGTCAATAATGTGTATTACTGTGTATAACAGTCCCAGCCATGGGTTTACACCCTGTTAGACCAGATGTGTAAACACAGAGTAAAGTAAAAAAAGGCTGTTCCTTGTCTTGGCCTTAACCAGAACCAATTCTGCATTTAAGGTGGGAGACTGAAGATGGAGGGTTAGAGGAGGGTAACTGCACCTGGAAACCAGAGCTCACACTGGTGAGTGAATTCAGTAAACAAATGCCTGTCTTTTGTAGTTGAAACAGGAAAGGAAATTTTAAAGGAGAGGAAGAGTTTTGGAGGGTTGTTTTGTGGGAAGAGTGGTTCAAAAGAAAACATGAAGATTCTTTCTTGGGAGATTCTTCTAGGAGGGAGAAGAAATCCAGCATTATCAGCTGCTGACCTTGAGCTGTTGTGAGTTGTGGTCCACTGGTGTTCTGGTGCAAAGAGAAGTGATTTGCACAGCACTGTGCTCAGGTTTGCGCTGGAAACTCTGTGCGTTGGAAATAGCTTGAACTTCTAGAAAACTCTGGAAAACATCACTGATTTTGCCTGAGTTCTCCCTGATTTGGGTTGCTGGGAAGGTGGTTGCATGTGTTAATTTTGTGAACTGCTCGTGCTGGTGCAGAAAGGAAACCAGAAGGTTTCAGTTGCCCCAGCCAGACTGCAAAACATTGCAAACAAAGGTGTTTTGTGTGGCTGGTTAGTGGGGGTTTTGTTTATGTGTTGGGTTTGGATTTTTGGTTGTTTTAAGTTGTTGGGTTTTTTCCTAAACCTGTAGATACCTTCTTAAAACTTCAGGGATGTAAGAAAGTTCCAACACAGAAACGAAGGCACTAAATAGCAATGTCTTAGTTTCACAGATGATGAAACTAAAGCAGAGAGGGAGAGAGACAGATTAAATGACAGATTTCCAAAGACCACATGGTCAGTGGCAGGATGAAAAACTGTGCTGGGAGACCTGATCCTCATCTCCTGATAGCAGACATAGTTCCCAGAAGCAGTTGGAAATGTGACCTGTTCTTTGCACTAACAGTTTAATTACTATGAATGTTGTCAGTCAACTTATATTTGTGCCCTATTAACTGGGGACTCTGACCTTGATGGTGGAGTGCCCTGAGAGGTCATTTTGCTGCCAAGCTGCAGACAGGACTTTCTGGAGGAGACACAGCAACAGGGTTGGATCAAGGGTTATTGGGTGGGACCATTAATCTGTAGCATGGAATAAATAAATCAGGAGATCTGGGATTCTGAAGGTCCCATGTGGTGCTGCAGCACTAACACATTGTGTTAACTCTTTCATTTGTCAACAAATACAGAGTAAACACCTGGTGGTGTTTTCCTTTAGTGAGAATGTCCTGCACTTCCAGAGTTAAAAGTGTTGCTGGCAGAGCTTTCGTGCATGTTTTAGGAGGGTATTTCAGGTGAATGAAGTTATGAGAACCATGAAGAACTTAGTGAGACAGGTTTCTAAAAGATAAGCTGTCTTTCTAGTGCTAGACATGCTGGGCCAGGTGATGGTGTCTGTAAGAGCCCTGAAGCTTTTCTCCATGACCTTGAATTGACAGGTTTATCTGTGCTTTTGGGTCCATTTGATCCCCTTTTCCCTGAACACTCAAGGGGTACCTGCTGAGGAACAAAAGCTTTGTGGATGAAGAATGCAATGCTGATGAATGCCATGTGTGAGAGTCTTTGTCGTGAGAATTTAGGTCCATGCAAAAACAATGGGGTATTCCTCACATTCTTGGAAAATTACATCTTCATATCCTTAAAGAGGAAATTCAGGACAAATACCCTTTTCAAACCAGTAAATATAGAGATTTGTAGAGTTTTACTCACATTTATCATTGGATTCCTGAGGAATTCAAGGGAAATTGGCTTATTCACCAAAAAGGCAGTAGTAGTACATAGTTAATTTGTAAGAGAAATAGTATTTTTCTGCATGCCCAGTGAGGATATAGAAGGGATGTAGCAATTGGAATGGGCTGTGCTCATTGGATCAATCTCTGATCCTCCTTACCACAAGAAGTGGTTCAGGGGCAGAGATGATCCCATCAGCAGCATCTTGTGGAGGAGCTGAAGGAAGCAGTGAGTAAGAGCAAGTATTGCTCAGAGAAGGGCAGCCATGGTTCTTTGGACAAGGATCCATTTCAAGAGCATGGAGAGTGAGGCTATGCTTTGGAATTAGGACTCTGGAACTGTTAAATGTATTTTTACAGGATTTCAGATGCTTTTGGTATGAGGACCCTTCTGGGATGTGAACTTCTAAGACTGTGTGTATCAGTATTACATCATCACTGAGGGTGCCATCCAGGCTTTTGATAAGCACCTCCTGCATTTTGGGGTAGTAATGAGGATAGTTCTGGGTAATGCTACAAAGGCATTAGGCCTGACCAGTCATATTTAGCACGTCTGTTCTGGCTGCTCAGCACGTTGCTCAGGATGAATCTGAGTGCACACTTGCGTGGTTCACAGCAAAGAGACTTGGCAGGAGGGTTTATGTCACTCCAGTGATCTATGCAGGTACCCCAAGCCAAGACAGGATTACTTCCAGATGTAACTACTAAATTTTGCTATCTTTAATATAGGTGCATAAGCTTCCTGAAGATCATAGGGCTACTCCCATGAATGAGGCCAATGGAACAATACTACGAGATTGCTATTTAGTGTGGAGAAGCCCATCAAAATTCAAAGTGCTTCCAGATTTGCAGCAAATTTCTCTGAATTGCCTGAATTAACCACCTTTGCCAGGGAGTAGGAAACCAAAGCAGCATCCCCAGTCTGAATACAAATTAATTCCACATAGAGGGTGCCACATCAGAGTGAAATGGGTTTGCTCTCCTCCATGCACAAGGACTGACATCTGTTTTGCTAGGGAATGCTGTGGCCCTTGTTATGTAACTCCCTGGCATAGCCAGCTCGTGGCATTGTTACAGAAAACTCATCCCATCGGTGCGTTCTCGCTCGAGGCTGTTTTGCTTGCAGATAAAGAACATGCTCTATTTTCAGCCAGAAGAGGATGGTCTTGCACCCAAAATTAGAACCAATAGGAATCGGGAAATAATGAGCAAGAGCACTGTCAACTGACAAATAGTTGTGGTTTAGGGCACATGTAAAGTTGGAGTTAGGATAATTTACGGGTCTCCTGTCATGACTGGGGTGTGGAAAGGTATCACAGAAGTATTTTTGTTTCTTGTTAGCCTACAGGGATAACATCCCTCATTACTTGGAAGGGGCAATAGATTTATTCTACCAAACACCAAGCTGCAGTCAGCATTCTTCACCCAACAAAGCTAGAATAGAAAAGATGTATGTTTTGGTGGAATTACTATAGCTTTGGTCTTTGGGAAAACATACTGGCTCTTTGTTTTTCAATCATCTTGGCTTGAGTGCACTTCATTCAGTAGCTGTCACCAAAATTTGCACTGTGGTTATAGTCCTGTAGAGCCATCACCTTTCTGTCACTACTAATACTTTCCTATAGCTGACTTTCTCATTTCAGTGTCCAAAAGCATTTAAAAAATGTATGGATTTGTTTCAGTCTTCATAATAGAACACAATCCCCTTGGTTTGTTTTACATCTCCTATTTTCCATTTTACCAATATTAGTTGTCATTTCTTGTACATTTTGGACCAATGCTCCAATTTAATTTTGCTACTTTGACTGTTCCCCCACTAGTTTCAGATTTCATTGTGTAACCTCCTTTCTACCTTGGGATTGCTAAAAACTTATGTGGAAGATCCTCTCACAATAACTCTGTTCATAGGTACCTTATGAGAGTAACTGAACTCCAGGAAAGGCTGCTGTCTGTGACAGGGAGAATGAATCAGTTGATGCTGAAAGCCAGGTATCCAAACCATGTCTTTGTATCCCCCAGCTAAATTTGTTCTACTACACAGATTTAGGAAACAAGCAGGAATTTTCAAGACTGTATCTGAGACTTGTTATTTCCAGTCGAGGTGTATGGAGGAAAAAAACCCCTCTGAACGACCTTGTTTTCAATTTAACTGTAGAATTCAGTGTCATTTGAAAGTGGAAGCCAAAGCTGAAATGCAAATTCACACTTAGAGCTGGCACAGTTTAGGTTCTGTGTTCCCAAAGCAGGCAGTGAGAACTCAATAGGCCACACCTGTGTGAGAAGGAAATCACCTCACAAAGGATAAAATTAACTGTAGTAGGTGATGGTTTACTGCAGACAGACATAACCTGTGGCACATGCAATAGTTGTAGAGAGGGCACTATGAATAAAAATAAATTTTTAAAATAAAGAATAATATTTTAAAGTGCTTAAAGGGCACTAAAAATAATGCAAGTAAAATAATATTTCACTGCATCATCCTCTTTGTTCCATGTTGGGTGTCTGCTCCATGAGGCACAACTTTGTTTAATGAGTCATGAAAAGGGAATGGAAAGCCTAAAACCAGTTTGTGTTGGGATGTCTGAAAAATAAAATGCCTCCCTCCTTTTTTTTTTATTATTTTATTTTAAATGCCTACCTTCACTGCTTCCCAGCTGGAATTAACCAGGTATTGTCTGAAGGGACCAAAACCTGAAAAGAAAGAAAGGTGGTTTTAACCTGTGCTTACTCTACAATTGCAGATTAGGTGCTGATGTGTGCACACACATATTTGATCTTTATCTTCCTATTTTTGGTTATGGAGGTTGAGTTTTTAGATGGGATTTAGCTTTTATAACTCTTAAGGGAATGGTATTTTCAATTTGTGTATTCACTGATAAAAGAACTAATCCTGCAATCTCCATTCATGTCAAGGCTTTCTTATGAGAGAGCCTTAACTGGAGCTGGTTAAATGTACCTCCAATAGGACAGATCATGTAAATGATGATTTTGGGTCATCATCCACAGAAATAGCACTACTAAAAGTTATGTTATTAAATACTCCCAGGTCACAGTTAATGTATCTTTCTTATTGTTAAAGCTCATGAAGATGAAGATATGAAAATGTATTTAATGAAAATGTTTGAAAGAGTAAAATTTATTTAATCCGTGATTTATTTTAATAGCAAGTAATGAAAATTTACAGTTTTCTATCTGGTAAAATGTGGGTTTTTGTGATGCTGGGAAAAATGTCTTCACTTTTTCCCCCAGAAAAAGAGAGGAGAAAAGGGGAAAGAACACTTTGACTCCAAAGTATTACATTCAATTTTATGCATCTTTTTTTGTGAAAGGATTTTTTTTTTTTTAATAAAAAGGGAAAAGAACTAATTTTGAGCAGATGGGCATTTTGTCATTAAAAAGTTTGAAGGAAAACTCCCACTATCTTTATTAATCTCAATTAATGTTCTCAATCCAGAGTGTTGCTAAGTCCTAGATACTGGGTGTCAGGAAAATGAGTTTGTGAAATGGTTTTAATGCTATAACTCTTAAATATTTAAAATCCTTAAATGGACAAGTAAATACTTGACAGCAGATGATTGCCATTTTGCACAGTGAAAACTACTTGTATGTAGAGACAATTAAGCCTAAATGCAGGCTTGTGACAGCTTAATTAGTGCTAGACTTTATGCATTTCTTAATTTATTAATATTTATTTCATAACTGCTCCATCTTTTCTCTTTAATGTTACGAAAAGCTTATATTTTTGACAATATTTTTTCCAGGTTTGAGTTTCTCCTGTGGTGAGGGAACAAAGAAAATGGTGCTCATTTCATATTTCCAGGAAACACAAAACCCCATTATTCCCACTCTGCTTTGAGAGGAAAATTTGGGTGGCACCTGCTCCATTTTGGAGCTGTAGTTGTACAATTTTCTGTACCTGTGTGTGCAGAACTGCAGAATTACAGTAAAGTTATTAAGTAGATCACAATGAAACACTTGTGTCAGTGGTGGCCCTAAGAAACTACTGCTTAGGATGAAATTGCTACGAAAAATAACGAAATGTATGAGAGTTTTACTGCAATACCTCCAGCAATGTGGAGAGGTAACTGGCTGAATGTTACTGGGCTCCATGTAATAAACTGGGCTCCCTGCCAGCAGGTTTATATTCTGAGCAGGTGAAAATGTGACAGAGACATGCTGTGATAATCTCTGTAGTAGATTAAAGATGCACGTGTGTCTTAACTAGTCTAAAGCTTTTTGACCAAGGAGATTTCTGGACATAAATGGTGATCAAAAGGGAGGAAAAAACTAACAGGGTGCTAAGAAGTGTTCCCAACAAGGGTATGTGCCATAAATATCATAGGAGAGAGAACCAGACTGTCAGCCTTTTAGGAGGTTAGCAAATACCTCTTGCCCTCTCCTGCACTCCCATGCAGCTCATCTGCAGTTATGGCTGGAGCAAGCCAGACTAGTTCTGCCCATCTTGCAGCTATTAAAAAAAAAAAAGAGAAGTGTTTAATTGAAAACAGCAAGATGCAAATCTCTTTGATGTAGCTTCACCCTCGTTCCTATATCCTCAGATGACCTGCAGTGGAAAATTATCCAGCAACTCACATGTCAAGATATGTGTAATGATTGCCCTCAGATGAGCCAGTGGCAACAAGAGGAACAGCGAGCAGCAGCATTCCTCAGGAGCTTTAACCTTTTACAGCTCAGCCCTCTCTGAGCTGCTGGTTCTGCCGCTGTGATGCTGCACTAGTTGGAGCCAGCAAGAGAAACTCCAAATTTGGTCCCTTGTGCTGCATGTTCAGACATGTTCCTTTGGTATATTTAAATGGGATGGTTTAGTTTAGCAGTGATGAGGCAGCATCTCCTGTTTAAAACGCCCTTACCTTGCCATGAAACTGAGCCCCTGAAAGTTGCCATGTGCTGCTCTAATTCTGGACACTGACTGTATGACATTGTGATGCAACCTGGTTTTCTTGCTTCAGAGCTTCTTTTGGGTAAGCTTTATCTAATAGTAGCCCACACTGCCTTGAGCTATGTGGTTTGGATCAGAGAGAATGTCAACAAAGATTAAAACATGGAGAGAATGAACAACAAACCAAACTGGATGGCAGTGAAGAGGGCAGACTGCAGTCTGTTTCCTCTGACATGCATCTGATTTTTCTTAGGAAGGCACAGCAAGTTATTTTCCATTTGGAAATGTTAGTATGACCATTTGCTACTCTTTTTCCCTCCAGGAAACTGTTTATGACAAAGATCAAGCATGCGTGCATACTGTCTCTGGCTCAAAGAATGAAATACAAATCTTACCAGTCACCACCACAGTGTTGGAATTTGAATCCATGATATCTATGCTCCAGAAGGTGGAATCTTCTTGTCTTTCAGTGCCAAACAGTATTATAACTCAGGTATCTGTGGCAAACTTCATTTGGGGCACCTTTTTTCTTCCAACTGTGATGAGTCTGGCTTCACATGACAGGGATGATTTGTGACTCATGTAACTTTTAAAGCAAAAATGATTACGTCTCTATTAAAGATAGAAGTCTGACTGACTGGCTGACTGGGACTGCCCCAAACTCTTTCCTCTCCCAGGCATGGAGTATTTAGGAAGAAGAGAAAAAGCTTAAGGAACTTCCTGCAAAATATCCAGCAATATTTTTCATCACTTGTTTATGTGCAAGTAAACAGAAAATTAATTGAATCAGTTTGATTATATCTCTGTGGGTTCCTGTTTTTAGCAGTTGTAACTCACTTTAATGGTGAGGAATGACAACTACAAAAACTTATCTGTCCATTTCCACCGTTCTTGGATTTCTTCTTAGTAACTTAAGCTCAGGGGTAACTTTGCTGTTCTTCTTCACAGAACTTATCTGATTTACTACTCTCGATCTTTATCTCAGGCTTGTTATGAAAGAGTCCAAGCACTGTACACTTTTCAAACCAAACACCAACAGGAAAATGTGTGTATTTGCTAACCCAAAACATTTACTCGGTAATACCCTTTAACAGGCAACATGTTAGAAAATCTCACTCCAACTTGCAAGGTCAGAGGAACTCTAGAAGCTGGGTTATAGCTTGCTGAAACTGGTGAGTTTAATAGCTGGTCTGTCTTCATTAAAGTGGAGCCTGAGAGCCAATGGGGGGGGCCTGAAATCAAAACATATGCACATTGTCACTGCCCAAAACAAAAGCATATGCAAGTTCTCTTGGGAATTATAACTATGTGGGCAGAGGGTTTCACTGGGTCTTGTTTTTAGTAGGAAGTGTGTGTGTGTGTGTGTGTGAGAGAGAGAGAGAGAGAGAGAGGGAGAGGGAGGGGAGAAATAAGCTAAGAATAGAAAGCCACTATATTATCTCAAGAGAGCTGGTAATTGTGAGACCTTAGGGGAAAAAAGAGAAAAATCTCTGAAGAAATCCCTTGGGTTGGGTGGTGGCTGAATGAGGTTTGGAGCCATGACCTGTGTCTGTCATTTAAATCGTCCTGTGCTGAGACACAAAAAGATGCATGGATTCTCTTTATTTAAAAGACTCCGATTCCACCATCCATTTCTTCCCCTAACACAACATGCAGAATTAACTTTTGCTGGCTGCTGGGGCTGAAGGAGCTTCCAATACAGGAAACAGAGCTTTCTGCAGCTTTAAATAAAGCAGAATCTGCCACTGGCAGCACTGAATCACTTTTAAAATCCTACAGTCCTTCATACTCCTATGTCAATCAAGATTTTTATCCATTAATTTTTATGCTTGACCAGTCATTAAAACACTTCCTGGGATTCTGAACAGTCTTCTCATAGTTATTTTTGTTTTGGGTTTTTTTTAGAAAAAAATCTAAGTACAGGGTGGTCTAATGAACAAAGAATTTGTAACGAATAAGGTAAGATTTAAAGTCTTAATTAATTTCCAAGTGAGACTTTCTATTTTCTTTGGGACATGAGAGCTGCTTTATACATATATATATGAAGGGTATTACTTGAACGCTGTAAAATATTAGGTATTTCATGAGATATTCTTCCAGGGGGGAGATGTAAGTCTATTAGTTCCATGCACTCTGTAACATCTGATATGATCTTTTTGGAATGTAGTACTAGTTTTTAAAGTTTTTACAGCTGGCAAAAGGGAGTAGAAAAGAAATAGAGAGTAGCAAAGATTAATTCACTAAGCCTTTATGAAGAAGCTAATAGAAATTTGTAAGGGGGGGGGGAAGTACTGTCTTGAATAGTTAAGTTAGTGCCTTTTCTTGAGCAGATGTTTGTTGAATTGGAAGTCAAGATTCTGAGACCTGATTCTGATTCAGTGTTGGTAAATCCTTGTGCAAGTGTGGGAGGAATGCTAGTGAAATTTGACAGAGACCACTGAAATTAACTTTTGCACTGATTTAATTGGTTGCTCATGTTCCCAAGCATTGTGTGCAAGGTAGTATACTTGGAGGAATAATGCATTTATTGCAGCTGTGCAACACAGTTAAAAAGAAATTGAAAGATTCGAATTAGGCCTTACTCAGAAATTATTCAGAAATGAAATAAATTATTCAGAAATTAAATAAAACCTTTTCTTTCCTCTAACATTTCTTCCGCTGAAGTTGAAGCCACCCTTGATGATTGTAGCTTTAATATTAGCACTCCCATGGGTATCTGTGCCCAAAACAATGGATTTGAGGGTCACTGGATATTTGAGGTCTGTGCAAGTTAATCACCCCATCCATAATTAAGAACCCAAGCCTTGCTATTTGAAGGCAAGTCACAGACACAGCTGACTCAGCTAACTCTGGGTGTTTTTCTTCTTGCTGTACGGATGTGATTGGCACAGCACACATCTTGAGGTAGAGAAGAAATGGAAGCAACTCAACTATGAAAATCCTGGTTATCACCTTGAATATTTTTCTCCACATTTGTCTGATGCTTTCAAAAACTGTTTGAACTGCTGCTGAGTAAGAGAAAAATATATTTTCTGCAAATGCATTCTGACCACACTGCAGAGCTGGCAGCACACTGCTTGAGTAGCTTTTTAGTAGATGGGGAGAAGAACAGAATATGGCTCTTCATTTAGAACCAGCTCTTTAATTTTTATCTCTTTTATTATTACTTATATATATATATAATTATATATATTTCTTTTATTTCTTGTTATTGGCAGGCACTGACCAGTGTTTTAAACTGTGAAGTGGAAGTGTTCAATACATTCCAATTTTTATCTCAGCTGTTCAACACTTAATGAGAGGAGGGAGAAATCAAGCTGTTATGCTATTTAACACTAAACTATAATGGGACTTTAAATAGAAATTTCAGGATCTAAAACTCCGTATTTGTTTTCCATTCTAATAAAAATAAATGGTCCTCAGGAAAGACTGAAGCTGGTCTTTATGTAGATAGAGGTGTCACAAAAAGAGAGGACACAAACATTTCAGTGTAAAGCTCACTGTTCCCTGTGGAATGAGGCCTCTTCTACAACAAAATCCATAGAAATGGTAAATTGAAAAATATAATGGCAGTTTCACTTAGGGTTTTTTTGGCAGAGACAACTTCCACTATCCCAGGTTGCTCCAAACTCCATCCAACCTGTCCCTGAACACTTCCAATAATGGGGCAACCACAGATTCTCTGGGCAAGCTGTGCCAGGGTCTGGTGTTGGACAGGAATTTTCATGTGTTTTGTGTTGTTTGATTATTTATTTCAGTTCTTCAGCAATTGAATCCATTGGAATATACCTACGTTTATGGGGAAAATTGCAACTGAATATGAGTTGAATATAGCCAAGCTGCTGAGTGCTGTTATTATATCAGTTCTGGTCTTCTTGTAGTATTAGCAAAGTGAATGGCTGTGCATGGAGAGGTTTTTAAATTTAATTTTTTGTTTATAATAGGGAGAAAGGACTTAGCAGGGCACGTGCAACCCATGATCAACAGGTTGCTTTTTTCATTTACCAGCGCAGAGACTCTGCAAGCAGGATACACACAATTTAATTAACTATTTATCAGCTAATATGCAAAATAACTACAACTAACAGATTGCTGGGCTGAACAGTAACATGCTTACCACTGCTGATAAGAAAATTGATGAGTTTTAGCTGGCCAGGAAGTTTCTAATAGATTGGGGAAAGTTAGTCTCTGACATTTATTGGTGTGGGCTGATCCTCACCATTAGAGTTATCATCACGTTTTCTGGATTTTGATGGTTTTTTTTCTTCTTTAGTATATTTTCTCTTTAATCTTTACCATTGTCATCCCACCAACAGCACTTGGATGGTTTCAGCTTCTTGTCTTTCCTGCTGCACCAAACCAGACCTTGGAGCACAGCAGTGCCCAGCCTCTGGGCTGTGGGTGACACTGACAAAGCTTCAAGGGATCACGAGCATGGGCTGAAATCCACTGAGGGTCTCTGAGGTGCAGTGACGTGACATCTGCTCTTTGGAGTGCCTGTGTATGGCCTGAAACCGCTTTGTCCTGTACAGGAAAAAAAAATAAAAAAATTATTCTACTGTGTGTTTTAAAGCATTAGAAAGGAGAAGCAATGCTGAGGGGTTTTGGCTGCTGACAGGCAATGGAGTCCCTGTTGAGTAAGGTCTCCAGGTCACAGCAGCGTGCTGGATGCTCAAAGTGCAAAGGTGAGTTTATTTCTTTGCAAACATAGTGTTGTTTCCATGTATCTGAGACCTCTATGACTTCGATACTTGTATCCGCTACTTTAAATATAACTGAGTGACCCTACTATGGGCGTATTAAGGCTGCCTTGAGTCACATCCTGAATTCTACTTTTAATTTTGACAACTGTGTATTGTTTTTAGCCCCTGTACCTCAGTTTTACTGTTTGTGGTAATGAACGGCAGGCAGCTGCTTAGGTTTTCCGAAAGCCTCTTTCAGATTAACAGCGGTCACTGCAGAATGCTATAAAAATGTTACTTTTCTACTTATTTTTCCCCTCGTAAGGTTTCTGCCTTAACACAAACTGGCGCTAGGTTTACGGTTTTTAATTCTGTGCCTTTCAAAGAAATAATCTGGCATTTTTGTCGGAGTGTCGTGAGTTCATATGCAGCGGGGGGCCGGCCCTCTCCCACGGCCGTGCCTCGATGGCGGGGGCTGTGGGCATTCCCCGGGGCTGAGGGCATTCCCCGAGCCTGTGGGCATTCCCGAGCCCGCAGCCCTCCTCGCCAGCCTCCCCTCGCCTCTCCGGGCACGGCCCCGCTGCTCCCCGCCCTGCTCTGCCCCCTCAGCCCCACCGCGGCCCGGCCCGCCCTCAGGGCTGCCCGCGCCGCCCCGCAGGAAGTGATGGCGGCCGAGGGAGGAGGAAGAGCGGCCGCGGGTAAGAGCGAGGAGGCGGCTCGGGGTGGCCACGGGCGGCCGAGACGCCGCGAAACACTCGGGGCTTTGCAGGGAAGCTCTGCCCGCTGCCTGCGGCCGGGCCCCGCTGGGGCCGGGCCCCTCATGGCCCCTCATGGCCGCGCTCCCGGCAGCGCCTGGCGCAGGCGGACAGCCCGAGCGCTGCGCGCAGACACCCACAGCAGGTGCTGCAGGGTTTGTTTTCCCATTTGCCAGCGTCCAGGTGACTTTTCCAGGTGTTCGGCTAGTCCAAGCCTGCCCGCTGTGGTTCGGCAGGTGATGCTGGGGAGAGGATGATCCCCGAACTCCTGTTTGCAGTGTGTGTTTGGGGCCTCAGCACAGGTGGATGACTCAAGACTTCAGTAGATCTCAAGTACTCGGCCATTAAGGAGCATTGGGAACATAGCATAAAAATACCCATTTTCAAGGGTGCCATGGGCAGTTGTTTACCCAAACTGAGCAAAAATTAGGGTTTAACAAAAGCATCAGGGTTTAACAGGGACAAAGGAGCAGTCAGTAAACACGTTTGTTCTTGACCGCACAAAAATAGTTGCACAGTTTTGGTGTTGAGATGTAAAAGGCTTTGTATACTGCAGAGTAGTGTACAAAGTATAGTATGCAAATATATTACTCTATACATATACTATATATTGCCCTTCCTTTTAAAAGTATTCATTAAAGCTTTTCTTTGCTATTGACGAGGTGACTAGAACAAGAAGCACATGGACATAGAGGATGAACTTTGTGAAAAAACCACTCTCCCCTTGTCTCCTTCCAGCAGGGGTTGATTTGCTGGTATTTTTGTAGTGAGTGAAGAGCTGCTCTGCCCAGCAGAACTCAGCCCTTCAGCGCCTGGTGCACTCACAGTGGTTTGAAATGAGCAGACATCGTGTCAGTTCCAAATGGCCAAGCTCCCAGTGCTTGGTAAGGGACGTGATTTTAGCACAGGTGGATCTTCTGTACATGCTCCAGCATGGATTTCCAGAGGAGTCTGGCATGTGCAGTGTTCTGGGTTTGTGTTTGGCTAGGAGGACTTCCAACAATCTCTGTTCACACACTTGTTTGGGTAAGGGCCCATTGCATCACCTCAGTTAGCTTTTGCACTGCTTTCTCTCCTGCTCTGTTTTTATACTCTTTCTTAATTTGTCACGCTAGCAGGTAAATGGAGAGAAAGTGAATTTATCTTCTGAAACACATTTTAAGTTACTGCCATTTATCTAAAGCACCTACTTCATCCCCTTCAGTAAAATAATGATGTTGTTCATTAGTTCCTCTAGCTGCTCATGGCTAAATGCACTGCAGTCAGATTGCTCTATTTTTCCCCTCCTATCAACCACTTATGGAAGTCAAACATTTGTAATAATGCTATTTTTTTGGGTGATGGGGAAAGATTCTCAGTTCTACTGATTTTCTTAAATAAAATACCTCTAGAGGAAGAGAACTTGGGTTTTCATGTCCAAGCAAGCATTGTAGTGTGGGGCAGTTCGATTCATGTCTACGTGTTTTCCCTTTTTCATCACCTTCAGATTGAATGTTTAGAATAGTTGTTCTTCCATCCACTTCCCTTTTGGGACAGCTGATGTTTTTTAGGTGTTGTCTGAGTTTTGGCGTAGTTATGTAATTGCATAGATTATGTTTAAAATAATTATGGAGCAGTTGCCAATAAGCGAGTTGAATATGCAGTACACTTTTAAGAGCACATAGAGTCAGCCATTAGCTCTTGTGCAAATATTGCTTTTCAGTTCCTGTTGTGCTGTAATTGAGATGCTACAACTCTTGATTGCTGTTCCTGTAACTGTTTTTCACAGGGAAAGAACGTTTACACTTCCAGGTTTCTAAACCCCTTTACCCCAGGCAAACCTTGCTGTTGAGAAGCAGGCCAGCTGTTGACCTAGAACTTCAGGTACTTGTTTTAAATTCAGCCTTCTTGCAAATTTATTTTGATTATAGAACACCTTGACAGGCAGATTTGTATGTGTTAACCACCTAACAGAAACAGTGAGCAACCACGTACATGCAGCTCTGGAGCCTGAGAAATAGTTAGTGGATGAGAAACCTGTATATCTAGTTTGGCAATTGCATTAATGAAGCCTGAAATTTCCATCTGTCTCTCTAGGAAGATGGAAATCTCCCTGCCCTCCATGAAATCCGTGTTAATCAGTTTATAGGAAGGAGGTCAGCAGCCTGGAAGGTGGAAACACAAAATTCAGGTAGTGTATAGGCACTGTCAGGAATATGGCCTCTGCATCTAAAAGAGCTTCTCAGAGCTTTAAGGTGAGACTGCTTAACAACCAGACTCCTACAGTGGAACTAAAATCTCATGTATGGAACAGAATTTTATTCAGACTGTGTGTACATTACAGGTAAGGGCTGCCATAGAATTGCCACAGCTAATGCAAGTTGTTGAAGCCTTGCTGTCTTTAACATAAATATGTAGTTACGGTCTAGAAAGAAAAGAAATCAGGAAACAAAATCCTAAATACTTCCCTCAAAGGAAAATTACAGCCCAAACCCAGCAAACAAACCAGAGTCCCTTTCCGTAGCAGCATTTGAGTGAGCACACTCCTTCCCTTGAGGGAAAGTTTGGGAAAACAAGCAGCACAGGAGAAAGTCTGGCCGGTTTCAATTTGCAAGTGGGAGGTGTGCAGGCATTATGGCTGCGAGTGTGTTATGGGAACCTACGTGATGAGGCTGGTATGTATTTGCCACATTGTGTAAAGGTTGCATACTGAGAGACTTCCAAACGCCTCGCCTGGCAATTCCCAGCTCTGGCATGTTGTCTGTGCAGAATGATTGGCAGACCCTCAGGTTGCACATATCTCTGAAGGAAACCGTGTCCTGCTCAGTTACCCAGAGGTCTGTGGATGCTTGAAAACGTTGTGTTTGTAACCTTTGAAACTGCTGTCTGGTGGCTGGGCTTTATGGTATTACTGACAACAGATGGCAAATGGCTCCGCTGATGTAATTCTTGCTGGTGTTTCATTCCTGTGAAGTTGCACAGTTTGAAAATCTCAGAAAGTGCCTCCATATTTTCCCTGCATAATGATTTCAAGCCAAACTAAATAAAAACATTTTCTATTATTCAGATTCCAGTGGTGTCATGTGACGCTGTGGTAACGACTGCCTTGCAGCAGTTTCAGATAAGTGCACGTTTGGTAGCAATTTTAAGGCCTGTGTCCTTTAAGTAATGCTTATTAGGACGTAACAGATGCCGTTTAGAAACATTATGCCTTTTAATAGGCTCTGCTTTTAGCCTACATGTTCCCATTCCAGGCAGACTGTGGATAAGGCAGGCTTGGAGGTATGCTGTCATTTATGCAAAGCCTAAGTCAATTTTCTGCTCTGAAGTCGAGCCATGTGTTTTTCCTTGTTTCTTCCATTCTGGTCATAGCTGCCTTGCTGTGTTTTTCCCCCTAGTCATATCTTTGGCTGATTGTCAAGCAATTGCAATCAAAACCTTTTGCATTTTTAACCACCAGCAGTGGTTTCTTTTGTCCTTACAGAAGAGCCTGTGTAAACTGAATTTGAACACACTGAGCCTCACTATCAAGAGCACAGCAAGCACAGAGTTAGCCCTCTGTTGCCAGCCTGTCTTTCCTTCTCTGCTTTTTCCTCCTCCCAAAAGGAGAAAAAGGGAAAAGCAGAGCCATGCTGATTTTGGAGCACCTTCAAAGACATGTAGAATAGCTGACACAATGGCACAGAGAAACAAGAGCAATGTTTACATATTTCCTCCACTACTGGCAGCTGTTTATTAAAGCAAGTTCTGAGACAGCCTTGTGATAGCTGGTGCAGGTGATGTATTAATTTGCAGCCATGTAATAAATTTAGCAAAGTGGAAATTAGTGGGGGAAGGGATTTTGGTTTTTGTTTCTTTCCTTTCCCCCCACCCCATCCAAATTAATTGCTTTATTTTGAAATTATTCTGGCTGTGCAAATTGGTCCTTGCAAGTAATTTGGAGAAAAGCTGCTAGGCTTTCTTAGGCAGACTTGTGCTCTCTGCTGGTGGGAGCAGTAGGCCTGTCAGATGTAAAGCATTTGCAGCTCAAATTATGTGGTATTTGAAGCTATCTCTGAAAATCCGGACAGTTGTCTCATATTTTCATTACTACTTTGTTTGCTTTGGGAATATTGTCCTTTGTAATAGCAAAGCAGGGCTTTCAGGTTCTCCTGGTGTGCCACATTCTGCTGTGATTTGTATGAAGTGATGTTAAGGGCTGGTGTGCCATTTAGGTTTCTCACACTTCCTTTGGATGATGGTAGTAAAGGGAAAACGTATTTGATGTGGTACTTAAATCCTAGCCCTGGTGCCAGGTTGTAACCGTGTGTGTTTCAGTAATAATTTTTAATTATTCAAACACAACCATTTTCTGAATGTGTCCTGTTGTTCTGCCTGGCTTCTCCCCATGAATTCATCTCCATGCTGGACCATTTGTCAAACTCATTTCCTGCCGTTTCACCATTCACTGTTCATCACAATGGGAGTCATTGTTTTCCTCCTTTCCCTCAAATTACAGGATGACTTTGGAGCAATGCATCCTCCTTTCTGCCTTCCATCTTTGTAGAGGATTGAATTGCCACTATCTGCATTTACACTTGTGCTTCATAAAAGATCTGCTGCTGTCCAAAGAACCTTTCCTGCCATTTTCCTTCAAATCAGTCTCTTTCCAGTTGTTCTGGAGAGCTTGTGTATTTTGTTTTGTTTAGGGGATAGGCAAATAATTAAGTTGACAAATTCTTGCCATTTGAGTATTTGCTTCCATATGCAAGAAAAGACAAGTTTGATGCCAGAGAAGCTTCCCCATCCCTGGCAGACTCCAAGGCCATTTTGGACCAGGCTTGGAGCAATCTGGGACAGCAGAAGGTGTCCCTGCCCATGGCAGGGAATTGATGATCTTTAAGGTCCCTTCCCACCTGAATCATTTTATAATTCCAAAATCCATTCCTCTGCCTTCAGTAGTCAAAGTTAGACTTTTCCAGGAG